ATCCTCATCCTCAATACAAATTCAGCTATGGTGTTGATGATAAAGTTACCGGTGACTCCAAGAGCCAAAGTGAAGAGCGCGATGGTGAAGCTGTTCATGGTGAATACTCTTTGATTGATGCTGATGGTTTCAAACGTACCGTGCAATATACTGCCGATGATGCCAATGGTTTTAATGCTGTTGTTCAACGTGAACCTTTGGGCCATGCTGTCGTGAAGGCTGTTGCACCCGTTGCCCACTATGCGGCCCCAGCTGCTGTGGCGAAACATGTTGCTCCTGTTGCTCACTATTCTGCTCCCGCTACTGTTGTAAAGACCGTAGCTCCTGTGGCCCATTACGCTGCCCCAAATCATTATGCTTCCTATGAAACACCCGTCTACAGCTATCATCATTGAGAATCGTTTGAATTAAAATGTTCTTTAAGTCATTACTGTCGTAAATAATTTATTAGCAAATAAATAAATGCATAAGTATCCACATTTTTGCATGGCATTTATTGATTATTATGTTTATACCCTACACCTATCTGTGGAAAAGTTTGATTGGTCCAAAAATTTTGTAACACCTCCAAATACAGGGTGAGATAAAAAACTGCAACAGAGTCAAACGCCATAATTTTTAAATTTGTTTTTAATTTTATTGAATGAAAGCAAAAAATGTTGGAAATAGCGTCCAATTTTAGATTAAGTTAAGATTTATTTGATTTGATGATCTTTGGCACGAATTATGGCCTTCAAACGACCATTGAAACCGTCACACGCTGCTCGAATATTGCTCGGCCAAACGGAGCGACTCTTTAGATCTTTTGAGTCTATTTTCTTTCTGTTGCGGTGTTGTTCTTGTACTTTTTGGAATTTCAATGGCTTTACCCCGAGCTGATTTTTCAATATTTGCCAAATGGAATATTGCGATATGTTCAGGTCACAATCCATTTTTCGGCCACTGTGACGCGGGTTTCGATCAAGTCACTTCTTTACTTTTCGAACCATTTCTGCTGATATTGCTGTTTTCTTCCGACCACTTCCTTGACGTCGGGCTAAGCTACCAGTATCACGGTAACGAGCGATGGTACGAGACTCAAAATATTTTATTTATTTAAATGCTGGAGTTCTCTAGCGATAGCCACTTGTGGTTTTCCAGCCAAATATAAAGAAATCACACTATTACGCTTGAATTCCATCACGAATAACTTTTTTTCTGAAAAATTCGCACCAAAATGGTTTTGTGCGCTTGTAAACGATATAATGAACTGTCACTGGAATAATTTTAACAGCTGTCGGAAGTCTGAAGTTGGTTGCAGTTTCTTTTACCCATCTCACCCTGTATTGATCGTAGGCCTAGGATTTAGTATACCGACGATATCATCCAGACGATCAGAGTCGATCTAGTTGGGTGTGTCTGTCATGTTAATTCTAGGATTGTCCGACTGTCCGTCCGTCCGTCTGTCTTTCCGGCTGGCTGGTGTGCATGATAACTCTCGAAAGAAGTACCCGATTTGGTTCAAATTTAACACATCGTAATATTATTGTCAAACTTAGATTCTGTTCAGAGATGGGCAATATCGGTCCAGAAAATAAATTACCTTAAAATTGTAAAAGAAAATAAATTACTTTAAATGAGAGTTGAACAAGTTCTGTAGTATGAAAATTGTAGATATCGGCCTACCCCTTCTGGTACCTTCCCCACAAAGGGTTACATTTTTAATTACTTATATATTTCACAACTTGCGAAACAAGACAGCGGTTCCATTCTATCTAATATCTAAAATTTCTGTCAGACGTTCGATGTAAGTATGGAATTTATCGGCTCATTCCCACAAAGGGTTAAAATTATGATTAACAATTATTCCCAAAAAAATGGTTATAGATGTCTGATTTTCTTCAAATGTTGCACATCAAAAAAATGGCTATAGATGTCTGATTTTCTTCAAATGTTGCACATCTAAAATTTTTTATCAGTATTAGATGAAGTGGAATGCTTTGGTCCTATATGTACCAGATAATGCATATTTCACCATTTTCCAAAAATCATCACAGTTTTCATATAAAGTGAAGGTCGGCATAGTCCAAATCGGGGATGTTGTAATTTATTATGAGAGTTAGTTCAGATGAGAAATGCATAATACTAGTCCATTCCTTGGGTATCGTTTTTGCGATTTAGAGGCGGTATTGGAAATACATAATGGAATCGAATATTCACTAAATTTAACGGAGACATTTTTATCTTTTATACTAAATAAAATTGCAATACAGGGTGTCATTTCTGTCATTTCTAGGCCACTAGTCTAATAGCTGTTAAAATTATTTCCGTGACAGCTCATTATATTGTTTACAAGCGTACAAAAGCATTTTTGTGAGAATTTTCCAGAAAAAAAATTATTCGTGATGGATTTCAAGCGTGATAGTGTGATTTCCTTATATATGGCTGGAAAACAACAAGTGGCTATCATTAGAGCACTCCAGCATTTAAATGTGAATAAATCGTTTGTGTCTCGGAGCATCGCTCGACGTCAAAGAATTGGACGGAAGAACAGTAACATCAGCAGAGATGGTTCGAAAAGTAAAGAAGCGACTTGATCGAACCCCGCGTCGCAGTGGCCGAAAAATGGTAAGCTGAAAATATTTAATATTCCATTCGGCAAATATTGAAAAATGAGCCATTGAAATTCCAAGAAGTGCAAGAACTTACACCGCAACAGTAAGAAAATAGACTCAAAAGAGCTAAAGAGTTACTTCGCTTGGCCGAAAGTGTTGAACTGTCGAATTTGGTTTTCTCCGATGAGAAAACATTTGTTGTCCAGCAGTTTGTAAACATACAAAATGATCGGGTTTACTTGCCAAAGAGGTCAGCTAAAAATGTGCACCTTCGTTTTGTCACCAGAACTCAAGCGCCGCTCATGGTGATGGTGTGGGCCGCCATAACAGCCGATGGTCGCTCTCCACTCGTATTAATCGACCGTGACATCAGAATAAATGCCGAATATTATAGCGAAAATATTCTGGAGGGTTTATTAAAGGCTTGGACACGCAAACATTTTGGCCGCAGAACTTGGACATTCCAACAGGACTCAGCACCATCGCACTCAGCACGCGCAACCCAAGAATGGTTGCAAAATGAGGTTCCTCGCTTCATGTCCAGCGCACAATGACAACAAAAATCTGCGGATACCAATCCGTTGGACTATTGTGTCTGGAGTTTTTTGCAAGCAAGTTTGGCACTAAAATTTGATGCTATTTCCGACATTTTTTTTGCTTTTATTCAATAAAATTGGAAAAAAATTAAAAATTATGGCGTTTTACTTTGTTGCAGTTTTTCATTATTACTTTACTTCGTTCGAATAATTAATTCTGATTGAAGACCATTATTTCTGAAAACTAAGCTCTCTAGGAGAAAATTTAATCTATTTCATATATATGATCTTAAAATAATAACATATTTTCTTATAAAATAGTTATCTAAGATTTTCAGACCATAATGAACATCGGGACAACCTCACAAAAAAAAAAAAAAAAAAATTAATAATTTTGACAGCTACGTCAACAAAATCACTAATATAAAGGTAACTTGTGACCTAAATCATGGGCTTAGTTTCAATATATCGAGGCGTTACAAAATTGTTGGACCAATCAAACTTCTCCACAGAGTGGTGTAGGGTGTAAACATAATATGTTCCATTCACAAAAAAATTGCATATTTACGCATTTATTTATATACTAAACCAGTAAAGAAAGTCTTAAAGTCGGGCGGGGCCGACTTTATGATACCCTACACCACTTTGCTGATTTAGTAGAGCTCCGCATAACAATTAAAAGTTTTTATAGGAGAATTCAATCATACACGCTATGATAATAATTATAATTTAAATGTTCAAAGGACTAAATATGCCGATGCATTTGTATCTTTTAAATTCGGACTTGTTTTGCCCAATTGGTGCACAATTAATTTGAAATCGGATAAAAATATATATGGGAGCTATATCCAAATCAAAACCGATCTCGATAAATTTTGGCAAAGATATTTCTGAGCTGTATTTTATATTTTTCTCTGAATATCGTTGTTACGGAGTGCATATTACGGCTGTGGGTAACAAATATGACAAATCGGATGAACAGTATATATGGGAGCTATAGCTATATCTGAACCGATCTTTACCAAATTTGACATACTAGCTTCTAGACTCAGTTCGGTCGTAAGTGCCAAATTTCATCCAATTTGGGCAAATATTAGACGTTTGGTGCACAATCAAATGTAAATCGGACGAAGTTATATATGGGAGCTATATCCAAATCTGAACCGATCTCGATAATATTTGGCAAATGTATTTCTGAGCTGTATTTGATATATTTCCCCAAATATTGTTGTTACAAAGTGCATATTACGGCTGCGAACGACAAAAATAGCAAATCGGATGAAAAATATATATGGGAGCTATAGCTATATCTGAACCGATGTCGATCATATTTGGCATACTTATTTTCGTGCTTAATTTGGTTGTATGTGCAAAATTCCATACTATTCGGACCGATATTACACGGTTGGTGCACAATAAAAGGCAAATCGGACGAAGATATATATGGGAGCTATATCCAAATTTTGACCGATTATCTCCAATTTCAATAGGGTTCGTCCTTGGGCCAAACAAATGATTTGTGCCAAATTTCATCTGGATAGGGCAATAAATGCGATCTGTACTTTGTTTACAAAAATACATGGACAGACGGACGGACGGACAGACGGACGGACGGACGGACAGACGGACGGACGGACAGACGGACGGACGGACATGCATAAATCGACTCAGAATGTGATTCTATGCAGATCATCAAAAGGAACTATGGGTCTATCTTATTTCCTTTTGCCTGTTACAAACAAATGCACAAAGACATAATACCCTGACCACCTTGTGGTGTAGGGTATAAAAATTATTTACAACAGTAATGAATCAAAGAACATTTGAAATGAATAATGAAACAAAGAACATTTTATTGAAAGAGAATTTCTCAATGATGATAGCTGTAGGCGGGAGTTTCATAGGAAGCATAATGAGTTGGGGCAGCATAATGAGCCACAGGAGCTACGGTCTTAACAACAGTGGCGGGGGCAGCATAATGTGTAACAGGAGCAACGGTCTTAACAATAGTTGCGGGAGCAGCATAGTGAGCGACTGGAGCAACATGTTTCACCACAGCAGCTGGGGCAGCATAGTGGGCCACCGGTGCAACACTCTTCACGACAGCATGGCCCAAAGGTTCACGTTGAACAACAGCATTGAAACCATTGGCATCATCGGCAGTATATTGCACGGTACGTTTGTAACCATCAGCATCAATCAAAGAGTATTCACCATGAACAGCTTCACCATCGCGCTCTTCACTTTGGCTCTTGGAGTCACCGGTTACTTTATCATCCACACCATAGCTGAATTTGTATTGAGGATGAGGATCGAATTCTTCCGATTTGACAACAACTTTATGGGCCACAGCTACGGGAGCCGATGTGTGGATAGCCACAGGTGCCGATGTGTGATAGGCAGTGGGGATATAGCCAGCACTGGCTACAGCAATGAAGGCAAATGCGAATACAAACTAAACACAAAGTAAAAATATAATAATAATTGAAACAGTGGCAAATTATAAAAAAAAACATGTGTCGTGCACTTACCTTGAAAGCCATGTTGCTACTGTTTTCAATAGATTCAACTTTGGGATATAAATGATAACAATCTCGATTTTTGGTCAACTTTTATACTCGATTGTGATTTAATTGATTTATTATTGATCTACATAAATTGTTCATTCCTTTGTTACAGAGAAAACCACAAAAAATGTATGTATTTGACATTTTACTCTATTTCATACCAAAGACAATATACATGGCAGTCAATTAGTTTTGTCATTGACTTTCACCGTTTTGCAATCATTATTTAAAAGTTGTTTAAGACTTTTCCCCTCAAAAAATCTAATAAAATTTGTCAATATACAAACGTATGTGTAAAACGTATATTTTATTCTGACTACGAAGAAAGGGTAGAAGGTAGGATGCCATCACTTTGAAGATTTGAGAAACTTGTGCAGCAGGGTCATCGAAATACATAGCCGAAAAAGGAGGATCAGGATGTTTTTTATAGAATGACAAAGAGGCTATATTATGGGTTTTAAAAAAAATAAAATCCCTTAAAAATGCTGTTAAAATCTAAAAAAAACACCGAATGTAGCCGTTATATTAGGGTCTATACGACGGTGGATCTGCATCATCAAATTACCGAATATAGGGAGGTACTATTATATAGGGGCTTATATCAAAACGTGGACCTACACAGACAATTTTCTGTCATATTATCCATTGCGAATTTCAAATACCAAATTGGAAATAATTCCGGCGAATAATGTCGCTAGAATCATCAAAATACCAAATATCGGTAGCTACAGCTATATGGGGGCTATACGAACAGACAATTTCCTGTCTTAAGCTGTAGTATCAATTGCAAACATTAAATACAAAATTTAAAACAAGTAAGCAAAGGCTATAGACGTGCGGGGCCGGCCATGTGATACCCTACAACACTACAATATGTTAGAAGCCCCCTTTTGCCCAGATCCATTTTGAAAGATTTCTCTTTAAAAATTATGTCACGAAGCACTACCATGTCTTGCTGTTAAATGTTGTGGTCCATTTTAGAGCTAAATATAATCCAATGGTCATCCAAAATGCTAGAATTCCCCCCTGTCCTTAATCTCTTCTCAGGCGTGTCGATTGCCTTCAATTGTGTGATCTGGAATTTTTTTTCTGTTTTTGGTCCATTTCAGCCCCTAAATATATTGCGGACATCTTTGAAAACAATAGGCCAAGTCCTTCTGAGCCCATGCCTACCCTTGTGAATATCGGACGATAATTGCTGATTGTATATAATACACCAATCTGTGTTGTAAGGTGAAAAAAAATTACAAAATATACACTTCAATATTAGGTCGAATTGAAAAAATCGCATGCGATAAAAAATATGAAAAAATAAAAAAAAACGTCACAAAATAATAAAAAACCTATTTTAACATCATTATTGGGATCTTTGTATGCGATTTTTTTAGATTTTATTCTTTTATGCCAAGAGCGCATTCTGAATTGACAAAATTTGTCAAAATCGGTCCAGCCATTTTTGAGATATAAGCAATCTAACAAACATCCCCTTGATTTGTATATACACATTGTATATATTTCGCTATATATAACCGATATATTTACCATCGTCATCTACGTAACGGTCAGAATTGACCTGTTCGTCTATTTTTGATTTCGCCGGTATTAAAAATATTCGTGGTTTAATGGAAAATTTGTCGTTTATTTAACACAAATATTATGGTCTATTTCACCCACTAAATATTACCCGATGACCATCAAAATAGGAAGACCTCTGCCCAGCTCTAAGCTCTAGCCCCATGATAACTTCCGCGTCGATTGGTCTATAATTGCGATCTGTAGAGCAAATCCAAAATCAGGAAATTTTTCAGTTTTTGGTCCATTTCAACCCCTAAATATTATGCGATCATCTTCAAAAGCAATAGGGTTCTACTCTGGTCCAAGCCCCACCTACATTCTAAATTTCGTGAAGATCGGGCCATAATTGCGACCTGAAGAGTGATTACAAATTAACATGGACTGACGGACAGACGGACGGACGGACATACATAGCTAGATCGAATCAGCTCGGCGAGCTAGGAAGATCCATATATACTTTCCTATGTGGGAAACCAATATTTCGAGGTGTTACATAATTTTTGGCCCAATCAAACTTACAATACTCCCAACACATAGTGTTGTAGGGTATAACAATACAAATTCAATAGAATACAAAATTTTCTTTTCTGACAACACATTGGTTGGGAAAGTGGACTTGGGGGTACACTAATGTGGGGACTATATTTAAATAAATGCCTACGTGGACAATTATCTGTAAAATGGTTCTATACCCCAGAGTAGCACAAATACATTTTTTAGTCAAATCAATAATTAGAAAATATATATATTCTAAATCAGCGTAAAATCCAAAGTCGATTTAGTGACATACGTCTCTCTGTCCTTCGAACGAAATGAGCCTAAAATTATGCACATATACATATTTTGACAGAAGACAGGTTAAGTTCGTAAATGGGCCATGTCGGTCCAAGTTTCCTTATAGATCCCGAGAATAGGTATTTTTGACAATTAGAGTCACATATTTCAACATAATTAGTTAAAATTAGGTGCTTACTCTTCCGTAGTGGGTTCTACCTCCTGCGGCGGATCATTGCACATATATAGGTCTACGATTTCATATAGCTCCCATATAAAGGCACCTCCCAATATTTGGTATATTTGACCACCTTTTCTTAAGAAATTGTTTGTTCGTAATGGATTCCACCTGATTTGTCACACCGTTGTCTATACAGGATGACGTTTTCCTATAGCCCCCCCACAACAGTACATCCTGACAGTTGAAACCACAAATTTTTAACGAAATTTTACAGAATTCGGTGCATAGAATTTTTGTGATAAGAATTTAGGTGTATGAGACCTTTAGTCTACATATTTTTCAGATATTTCTAACCTAAGGTATATTGAAAATTTCATAATTTCTTCTTGGGGCCCGCCAATGATATATTCTGGTTTCACACAAGATTTTATAAGGTTTAAGTAGTTTAAGATAAATTATCCGATTGACACAGTCATAGACATTATCATTATCGAAGAACTTCCACTTTCAACTACCGGAATCAGAGAGTTTGAGTTCGTATTGGAAAAGAAAGTGTTAGAGCTGATGAAATAATCAAACACCAAATTCACAGCGAAGAAACTCAAACATAAAAAAACCAACAACAAGTGCGATAGCATTCACTTTATTGGCCTCCTGCAAAAAATGAATAATTGTTTAAAGAATTTAAAAATTTAATGCATTTCATACGGTAAATACGTATATTGGACCCAAAAAACACACATGCATACTACATTCTCTATAATAGATATAATTGCAGAAAAATAAAATAAAAAATAACACACATTGTTCTGCTTTGATATAATTCGGTATAAATGTTGATCAGAAATTCAAAACGATATCATTCACTGCTCAACGCTTTAAAGAACATCAACGGTATTCACAGATAAAATAACGATAACATGGCCTTTAAGGTAAGTAAGTGAGCAGCTGGCTTGCTGACCGTGTTGCTTGTCATGTCATTGGACCAACGACTATTGACAGCATTACAAGGAAATCTGTTAATATCGTATTTTCCGTTTTGCAGTTTGTTTTCGCCCTTGCTTTCGTCGCTGTCGCAAGTGCAGGTTATGCTCCAGTTGCCTATCACACTGCACCCGTGGCTGTAGCCCAAAAAGTTGTGGTAAAATCGGAAGAATTCGATCCTCATCCTCAATACAAATTCAGTTATGGTGTTGAAGATAAATTGACCGGTGACTCCAAGAGCCAAAACGAGGAACGTGATGGCGATGCTGTACGTGGTGAATATTCCTTGATTGATGCTGATGGTTACAAGCGTACTGTCCATTATACTGCCGATGATGCTAATGGTTTCAACGCCGTTGTTCAGCGTGAACCTTTGGGTCATGCTGTGGTTAAGACTGTAGCTCCCGTTGCCCACTATGCCGCTCCAGCTGCTGTTGTGAAACAGGTTGCCCCAGTTGCCCACTACACTGCTCCCGTTGCACACTATTCAGCCCCAGTTGCTCATTACTCTGCTCCAGCTGTCGTCAAGACCGTAGCTCCAGTTGCCCACTATGCTGCCCCAGCTGTCGTTAAGACCGTGGCTCCAGTTGCCCACTATGCTGCCCCAGCTGTAGTTAAGACTGTTGCTCCAGTTGCCCACTATGCTGCTCCTGCCCATTATGCATCCTACGAAACGCCCACCTACGGATACCACCATTAAGAGCCATTGTTACGAAATAATTTGTAAATATTGAGATTTTTTGGTTTTTTATTTATGTTTGTAGTGAAATGCATGAGTGTAAAATAAAGACATCGTAAGATATGTAGGAAGTGGTTTTAATAGAAATGTGTGCCTAAATTGACGAGGTTTGGGTCCAAAAATATAGTTCCAAAATTTGAGCGAGAGTTCTCATCCTCAAGAAAAAAAAGAAACAGTTAGGAAATGTTAAACGTTGGGCGGCTCCCGTAAACGAAATATTATTTTGGGAATATATGTGATGTGATTATGTCAACTATGAACCTTCTTTGAATGCGTATTGCACATTTGGCGTACAGTAAAATTGAAATCAAATCAAATTTGGAACGATTCTCAACAATTTCAATAGGGTACTTCCTTGGGCCAAATTGGGTATAGAAAATTTCATCTCAATCGGACAATAAATGCCACCTGCTTTTTGTTCACAAAAAAATCATGGACGAACAGGCGGACGGATATCCAAAAATCGACTCGGTATGTGATTCTATGAGGGTCCTCAAAAATAACTTTTGGTCTATCTCGTTTCCTTCTTCATGATACAAACAAATGCTTAAAACATAATGCCCTGACAACAGTTTGCTGCCAATTTACAGCAAATTCGGGTTAAAAGTGTGATTAAAAAAAAAAACAAAAAAACCTTCAATCGGTCTGTAATACGCAGACCTATATAACCCATTTTCAATACCAAAAGTTCTGCAGACCTAACACACATCTGAGTAAAATTTTATCAATCTACTTCATTTCGTTTGGAAGCTAAAGTGATTTCCACAGATGGAAATCTGGGATGTGTTTTAGGTCTGCAAGACTTTTTGTATTAAGAATGAGTTATTTTGGTCCACTATTGATATAGGCACCACATAACTGTACGTCCAGATATTCGAATGATTTGTGTCGCAGTTTTCACAATATAACAGAAATTTGTCCATAGAAATGCACGTAACCGTGAAGCCTCCTTATATCGGTATCTTCAAATATTTGGTATTTTGATGATTTTTGTGGTGGGAGGGAGTTCGTAATAGGTACCTCCTTATCTGGCAGATAATTGGCTATATAGGACCAGATTTTCGTATATCCCCATGTAACTGTAACACCTGTTATTTGGAATTTTTAAAATTATAGTGCCATATTTTAAAATTTTTAGACTGTATTTCTTTTAAATTCTTAAAATGCCTTCCAAATGGTGCGGGGTTTTAAAAGTTGGGCCCAATCGAACTAAGCTTATTTTTGGCTTGTTATACACTCCACCATCGTATGAAGGGTATATAAAGTTTGTCATCCCGTTTGTAACACTGCGAAATAAATATTAAAGACACCACAAAGTACAGGGTGAGATAAAAAACTGCAACAAAGTCAAACGCCATAATTTTTATTTTTTTCTTTTAATTTTATTGAATGAAAGCAAAACATGTCGGAAATAGCATCAAGTTTTGGAGTAAATCTAGATTTGTTCGAATTGGTCACCTTTGGCACGAACTATGGCCTTCAAACAGCCAATGAACCCGTCACATGCTGCACGAATTTTGCTCCGCGGTATTTTGGCCCAATCCCGGCCCTTGGGTGGCGCATGCTGAGTGCGATGTTACTGAGTCCTGTTGGAATGTCCAAGGTCTGCGGCCAAAATGTTTGCGTGCCCAAAACTTTAATACACCCTCCAGAATATTTTCGCGATAATATTCGGCATTTATTCTGATGCCACGGTCGATTAATACGAGCGGAGAGCGACAATCGGCACTTATTGCGGCCCACACCATCATAATGGTCGGTGCTTGAGTTCTGGTGGTCAACCGAAGCTGCACATTTTCAGCTGACCTCTTTGGCAAGTAAACACGATGCTGGACAACGAATGTTTTCTCATCGGAGAAAACCAAATTCGGCAGTTCACCACTTTCGGCCACGCGAAGCAACTCTTTAGCTCTTTTGAGTCTATTTTCTTTCTGTTGCGGTGTAAGTTCTTGCACTTTTTGGAATTTCAATCTCTTTACCCTGAGCTCATTTTTCAATATTTGCCGAATGGAATATTGCGATATGTGCAGCTCACGATCCATTTCCATCAAGTCGCTTCTTTTCTATTCGAAAAATTTCTGCTGAAATTGCTGGTTTCTTCCGTCCACATCCTTGACGTCGTCTGAAGTTGGTTGTAGTTTTTTCATCTCACCTTGTACTCTATTCACTCTTTTCCAAGGAATCTTAATCCAAAAGTCTCCCAAAGATACCCCTATATTTTGGATTTTTTCGATGCATTAAAAAAAGGCAATAATATGATGAATTAATATCTCACAAAAAATCTGCTATAGACATATTGTTTGGACCACCTCCTACTTTTAGGTATTTGTAAAATTGTCACCCCTCGAAATATAAATTTTAGACCCCATACAGTATATGTGTATATTCTTGATCATAAAATTCTATGTCGATTAAGCGAAGTCTGTCTGTGGAAATCACTCTAGCTTCCGAACGAAATGAAGTAGGTTGATGCAATTTAATTCACATAACTGTACCTTCCTACAATCGGTATTTTTGGAGATTTTAGTGACATTATTCGCCAGAATTGTTTCAAAATTCCTTTTTTGAAGTTCTTAATGGGTACTACAATCTGTGACAGAAAATTTCTTACGCAGTTTTACGTCTTCGTAAAGACCCCCTACATTCTGAGTTTTGTTAATTATAGCAGTAGTTTTTAACGGAATTTTTTGACAATTTCAAATTCCTTCCATCGAAGTTCGAACTTACTGCTTTTTTACTTGTTGAAGTTTTTTCCAATATCAGTTCAATTTTTTTATATGAGGCACATATACATGGATAAGGGGTTAAACGTTAGTAGGCAGAACACATTCTCGCTTAGTGCTTAAAATTCGAAGTGCCAAATATTTTTATTTATCTTTTAACATGTTGTTTTCATTTGAATGTATTTGATTTTATGGTTATCCCAACATTTCTATCCTTGCATATTTTACCAATGATTAGAAATTGGAAAGAAAAACAATATTTTTATCACATTAAACTGTAGAGCGTTTATATTTTTAAAACTAATGGCGTAGAACTACGAATAGTATTTAACAACATTTTTAACAACATTGGCACTTAATGATGGTAACCGTAGGCGGGAGTTTCGTAGGATGCATAATGGGCAGGGGCAGCATAATGGGCAACGGGAGCAACAGTTTTGACCACAGCGGGGGCGGCATAGTGAGCTACTGGAGCCACGGTTTTAACGACAGCTGGGGCAGCATAGTGGGCAACGGGAGCCACGGTTTTAACGACAGCTGGGGCAGCATAGTGGGCAACAGGAGCTGAGTAGTGTGCGACGGGAGCAGTGTAGTGGGCTACTGGGGCAACCTGTTTAACAACAGCAGCTGGAGCGGCATAGTGGGCAACGGGAGCTACAGTCTTAACCACAGCATGACCCAAAGGTTCACGTTGTACAACGGCGTTGAAGCCATTAACATCATCAGCAGTGTAATGGACAGTACGCTTGTAACCATCAGCATCAATCAAGGAGTATTCACCACGTACAGCATCGCCATCACGTTCTTCGTTTTGGCTCTTGGAGTCACCGGTCAATTTGTCATCAACACCATAACTGAATTTGTACTGAGGATGAGGATCGAATTCTTCCGATTTGACAACGACCTTTTGGGCTACAGCCACTGGGGCAGCAGCTGTGTGATAGGCAACTGGAGCATAGCCAGCACTGGCGACAGCGACGAAGGCAAGGGCAAAAACAAACTGTAAACACAGAAAAATTGACAATATAATGTTTTCTTTGTAAAGTTTTTTATTATTTTTTTGTTCGTTAAGTGCCAACATGGTCAGCAGACCACCACTCACTTACCTTAAAGGCCATGTTGTAGTATTTTATTCCGAGATTACTATTGAAGTTCTTTAAAGGCTTAAACTCCAAATGCGAATGATATCATTATGAATTTTTGATCAACTTTTATACAAAATTAAAGCAAAACGAAACAAAAAAGAAAAAAAAAACACATCAGTGTAATTTATCAATTATTGCAAGTTTCATAATGGGAATATTGGGTGGTGTTAGTAAATGAGTAGCGAGCGTAAGTTCTTTGGTTTAAATTATTATCCATTGTTGAAAATAACCTCTTCTCAGCTGTTAGATATATTTTTTATGAAAATAAATTAGCTATTAGCTCTAAAAATTAAAAAAACCTATTTCTATGGCTTGGTGAAAACTCCTTTGGAGCATAATAAACTTGGATATGTATGAACCGTTTTTCCATAAGTCAACAAAAGCCATTTTTATATACCCTTTTGTTGGCCGGGGAATATTTGAGGAAAAATCTCTAAGGAACCTATTTATCACGAAGTCTTACAAAAGTCTTTCATGGAAATCTTACCTATATATTCTTAAATAATAATAAACAAATCTAACAATGTTGACCAGAGAGTTCTTAAAAAAAACCCTATGCATATTAGAATCCCCAAAATTTGAGTAAGAACGTGACCTCGTTCCAATAATACGTGATTCATACTACTTCAAAAATGTGGGTTTTTGTGGGGAGGTATTAAAAGCAATAGAAGTTAGTGTTATCATTAACATTTTTTTGAGATAATCTGAAACTGATTTTTATACCCTACAACACTATGTGTAGGGGGTATTATAAGTTTGATTGGGCCAAAAATTATGTAACACCTCGAAATATTGGTTTCCCACATAGGAAAGTATATATGGATCTTCCTATCTCGCCGAGCTGAGTCGATCTAGCTATGTATGTCCGTCCGTCCGTCTGTCCATGTTAATTTGTAATCACTCTACAGGTCGCAATTATGGCCCGATCTTCACGAAATTTAGAATGTAGGTGGGGCTTGGACCAGAATAGAACCCTATTGCTTTTGAAGATGATCGCATAATATTTACGGGTTGATATAGACCAATCGACGCATGGGCCTAGAGCTTAGAGCTGGGCAGAGGGGTTCCTATTTTGATGGTCATCGGGTAATATTCAGTGGGTGAAATAGACAATAACATTTGTGTTAAATAAACGACAAATTTTCCATTAAACCGCGAATATTTTTAATACCGGCGAAATCAAAAATAGACGAACCGGTCAATTCTGACCCTGACTTAGAATCCGATAGTAAAAATATCGGATATATATAGCGAAATATATACAATGTATATATGCAAAGGAAGGGGATGTTAGCTAGAATGCTTATATCTCCAGAATGGCTGTAGCGATTTTGACAAATTTCATAAAATAAGAATGCCCTTTTGGCATAAAAGTATAAAATCTAAAAAAATCGCATAAAAAGATCTCAATAATGATGTTAAAATAGTTTTTTTATTATTTTGTGGTTTTTTTTATTTCTTCATATTTTTTATCGCATGCGATTTTTTCAATTCGACTTAATATTGAAGTGTATATTTTTTAATTTTTTTCACCTTACAACACAGATTGGGGTATTATATACAGTCTGCAATTATCGTCCGATATTCATGAAAATTTTCACAAGGGTAGGTATGGGCTCAAAAGGACTTGGCCTATTGTTTTCAAAGATGTCCGCAATATATTTAGGGGTTGAAATGGACCAAAACAGAAAAAAATTGCTGATCACACAACTGAAGGCAATCGACATGCCTGAGAAGAGAGCAAGGACAGGGGAGAATTCTAGCATTTTGGATGACCATTGGATTATATTTAGCTCTAAAATGGACCACAACATTTAACAGCACGACATGGTAGTGTTCCGTGACATAATTTTTAAAGCGAAATCTTTCAAAATTGATTTGGGCAAAAGGGGGCTTCTAACATATTGTAGTGTTGTAGGGTATCACATGGTCGGCCCCGCACGTCTATAGCCTTTGCTTACTTGTTTGTATTTGGCTGGTATCAGAAATAAAAACAGATAAATTACATGTTCGTTTTTTGGTATTTACAAAGTGTGTGAATTATTATACCCTACACACACTACGTATGTATTGGGGTATAATATGTTTGATTGGGTTAAAAAGTTTGTAACACCGCGAAATAATGGTGGTAGACCAATATTCCTACCTCGTCGAGCTGAGTAGATGTAACTATGTGAATCCGTCCGTATGTCTGTCCATGATAATTTGTTATCACGATGTTATGATGTGTTATCACAACCTGATCTTATTTTTCAGTAGTAGGTTTGAATTTAAGAGTATGATAAAATATAAACTTAGCATCAGTTCGATTCAAAGGAGCTAAAATTTGGAATTTACAATGTTTAGCTTTATCCACCTCATTACTAAGGGCAGCATAACTTCAGAATAGTAAAATTAATTACTGTTTAACACCCACTAACATAGCACATTAAATTATGCATAAGAGTCCCTGTAAAGTCTATGTTTTTAATCATAGTTAAATTCCATGGCGCTTAAACAATGTCTTTCTGTTTGTCCGCCATTATACGATACTGTTATATAGGGTCTATACCAAAATATATACCTATATTGTAATTATACCCTCCACGATAATATGGAGGTTATAGTAAGTTTGTCATTCCGTTTGTAACACCTCGAAATATATATTTTAGACCCCCCCCCACAAGTATACATATCGTGAATATCGTGCATATCGGCATAAAATTCTATGTCTATTTAGCAATGTCGGTCCGTCTGTCCATTTGTCCGTCTGTGGAAATCACTCTAGCTTTCGAACGAAATGAAGTAGGTTGATAAAATTTTACCGAAATGTTTGCAGAACTTTTGGTATTGATAATGGGCCATGTAGGTCCACGTCTTCGTATAGCCCCCACATAACGGTATCTCCCGATATACCGAATATGATTTTATCGACATTATTCAACGGAATTTTCTCAGATTTGGTATTTGAAGTTCGTAATGGATACTACAACCTATGATAAAAAATTGTCTGTGCAGGTCAACGTCTTCGTATAGCCCCATATAACAGTACCTCCCCATACTCCGTATTTTTTATGATAATGATGATAATATCGCTAAATTATTCACCGGAATTGTTTCAAATCTGGTATTTGATGTTCTTAATGGATACTACTGCCTAAGACTGAAAATTGTCTGTTCAGGTCCACGTTTTGGTATACCCCTCATATAATAGTACCTCTCTATATTTGGTATAATGATGATTTTAGCTACATTATTCACCGATATGTTTCCAAGTTTCGAATTTGAATATTGTAATGTCTTATGACAAATGTTACCTATGCAGGTCCATGTAATCGTATAGACCCTAATATAATGTCTACATTCGGTATTTTTAAGATTTTAACAGAAATTTTAACGGTTTTATTTTTTGGAAAATTGCCAAATTCGTTCCAAGTGATAGAGGGTATTCGAGGGCCGAGCCGTACTTGAAGTTTTTTTACTTGTTGTTTCTGTAAGATGGTTGTATATATCCAAAGTAGCTTAACTATACATTTGTAGTCGATTGGAAAATCGATTGGTAAATGTGGTCAAGACCTTTGAAATGGGTAAAATGGGCGCTACTCGAAAATATTGACCTACATTGAAAATTTTCTGTGAAGCAGATAGAAGTCAATATGCCAAATACATTGAAAATGTGGCCAAGAGCCCGTAAATAGCTGAAATCAGGGCATACCTTCATATGAGGGTTATACCAAAACGTGGACCTATACTTATAATTTTTTTTAACGATATCTTCTCCTTTCTAATGAAGATATCAAATTTCTGAATTTTATCTCTATCCCTTCACCCAATATCAATTACAATTACAACTCAGTACTTTTCGTACAGTTACAGTAAACATTCCCAAAACCAGCTTCTCTCAAAAACAATGACATTCGCATCAAATTTCAGCATTTCAGCTACATTTCTTCCCCAATAACAAATTAAGTACTATTTAGTACATTTGCAGAACCATCTCCACATCTCAATTCCAGTTTCCAGCACCATCCCTTCATCCAAATACATTCCATTTAGTACTTTTCGTACAAACGTAGGACGCATTTCCAAACAAATTCCAAATCTAAAGTATCTAAATTTTATCCCCATCTTTTCGCCCAATACCAATTTTAGTACCACTGAGTACTATTGGAACAATTATAGTACACATTTCCAAAACCGCCTCCTTCTCTCAACCACAGACAATAATGGCGACATCAGTATACAATTTCACGACTTCAGGTCCAATAGCAAAGTTAGTACTACTTAGTTCTGTTCGTACAATTTTGGTACACATTTAGAAGACTATATCCATATCTTAATCACTCCGAATTTCAGATTTCCATCCCTATCCCTTCAACCAATACCAAATTTAGTTCAATTTAGTACTTTTCGTACAAATACGTATTTGCGAAACCACCAGATCCTAACACAAGATCCCAAGCTCTATCCTTTCACCCAATATATAATTTAGTAGCGGTTAGAACTTCATATCGTAAACAAAAACACCAACAGTGGCATCTATATCAACTTGTAGGATTTTAGCTTTATTTCTCCACCCAATTTAGTACTTTTGGTACAGTTCCAAACCACCTCCATATCTCAGTTATCTAAGTATCAAATTTCAGAATTGTGTCTCTATCTTTTCACACAAATATAGTACCATTCAGTGATTTTCGTACAATTATAGGGCACATTTCCGAAACCATCTCCATATGTCCAGGCCACACATGAATAGCGACCCTAATACCAAATTTCATATATCAAGCACTATATGTTCACCCAATACCAAACTGTACCAAATATATTATTATTATTATTATTATTATTATTATTATTATTATTATTATTATTATTATTATTATTATTATTATTATTATTATTATTATTATTATTATTATTATTATTATTATTATTATTATTATTATTATTATTATTATTATTATTGTTATTATTATTATTATTAATATAATTATTATTATTATTATTATTATTATTATTATTATTATTATTATTATTATTATTATTATTATTATTATTATTATTATTATTATTATTATTATTATTATTATTATTATTTTTATTATTATTATTATTATTGTTATTATTATGATTATTATTATTATTATTATTATTATTATTATTATTATTATTATTATTATTATTATTATTTATTATTCTTATTTCTAGAACCACCTCTTTACGCAAACCTACCACTAACAGGGACCTCAATACAAAATTTCAAATTTCAGCTTCAACCGTTCAACCTAAACAGACTGTTCCAAATGTAGTACCATGTAGTACAACAGATCGCATACTTAATTAACATTTCCCAAACTACCTTCATATATCAAAACTTACTTTCCAACCTTGGTTCTTATACCAAATTCCAAGTTTTTAGCTGTATCCGGTCACATAATACCAAATGGTATCATTTTAGAAATTTAGTAACATTTTAGAACTGCTCGCGACCTTAACATTCGAATTTCCAAAAACTCTTTGATACATCTTTCCTGGGCTCCATCATTTCAAATTTCAGAATACTAGCTCATTCCGTTGGCCCAATATTTTTATACCCTCCACCATAGCATAGAGGGTGTATCAAGTTTGTCATTCCGTTTGTAACTCATCGAAATAATAATTTAAGACAAAACAAAGTATATATATTCTTGATCAGCATAAAATTCTATGTCGATTTAGCGATTTCCGCAAGTCTGTCCATCTGTCCGTTTGTGGAAACCACCTTAGCTTCCGAACGAAATGAAGTAGGTTGATAAAATTTTAATCAAATATGTAATGGTATCTCCCATTCTCGGTGTTTTGGTGATTTAATCGACATTGTTCACAGGAAATGTTTCATATGTGGTATTTCAAGTTCGTAATGGGTACTACAGCTTATGACAGAAAATTGTCTGTGCAGGTCCATGTCTTCGTATAGCCCCCATATTCTCGATATTCGGTACATTGATGATTTTAGCGACATTATTCACCGGAATTGTTTCAAAATTGGTGTTTTAAGATCGAAATGAATACTACTGAATATAAACGTTAATTTTGTTAAGGTTAGACTTGGTGTAGCTTGGCAAATAGATTCAACCGAATCCGTGTATATCAAACAACATCACAAGCCGGAAAAAGCTTAAGCCAATATTGAAATATTTAAACATGATTATGTGATCCCTTTCGTATTGTGCTAGAGCCGTTCTTTTATTATGGCCCCTATATAACTTTAGATTTAATAATAATGAACTTGTAAAAAAACCCATAGTAAAAGTAATGCAACCACAAAATTTCATTAAAGGCCAATCAAAAATTGAACTTGCATAATGTGGACAATCATCATTCAAATCAATAATGATATCATTGCTATTTAAGGCATTGTTTTGTAAACAAAACTGTGACAAGAGAAAAATCTCCCTGTCACCACAACATAAGTGAATGTTGTTGTAAGACAGACAAACAATTTTTGTGTAAATAAAAAAAAGCAATCAATTGCTCTAAAAATAAATCTGTAAAAATGAAAATGCAACGTATTTTTTTGTATAAAAGTTGATGGGATTCCAAAATTATCCATCATTCATAACTGGTCTGTACCTCTACAAGGAATCGATTTTGTGGAATTCAGCAAACAATTTTTATTTGCACTAACAACATGGTTTTCAAGGTAAGTCGGTAATGAAGAAAATTTATTTATTTAATATCTATAAAATTGATATTGAAATCTTCCTGCAGTTTGTATTCGCTCTTACCCTCGTCGCTTTGGCCAGCGCTGGTTATGCTCCCGCTGCCTATCATGCAGCACCCGTTGCTGTCCACACTGCTCCTGTTGCTGTGGCCCAAAAGGTTGTTGTCAAATCCGAAGAATACGATCCTCATCCTCAATACAAATTCAGCTATGGTGTCGACGACAAAGTGACCGGCGATTCCAAGAGTCAAACTGAAGAACGTGATGGTGATTTTGTTCGCGGTGCATACTCATTGATCGATTCTGATGGTTACAAACGTACCGTCCAATATACCGCTGATGCTGTCAATGGTTTCAATGCCGTAGTTAGCCGCGAACCCTTGGCCGTTAAGGCTGTTCACTATGCTGCTCCAGCTGCTGTCGTGAAAACAGTTGCACCAGTGGCCCACTATGCTGCTCCAGCTGCTGTTGTTAAGACTCATTATGCTGCCCCCACCGTGGCTGCTTATGCTGCTCCCGCTGCTGTTGTTAAGACTGCCCACTATGCCGCCCCCACAGTGGCTACCTATGCTGCCCCTGCTCACTACAGCACATACGGAGCACCAGTATACAATTACCATCATTGAGCCAATGTTTTGCTAACCCAAATCGCTTAACTGTTGTAGAGTTTTAAACGATTGTTATTTTTATTTATTTGATTTAATGTTGATTCTGTAAAATAAATATACATACATTTCATTGAATAATTGAGTTAATTACGAAAAAGAGCTAGTAGATGGGTCTGCCCACCATTTATCAAGTAACCAACACCACGACAATATATATTGAGTGCAAATGATAGTACTATCAAATTTATGATAAATAACAAAAAAAAAAAAAAAAACAAGTAAAAAAGCTGTAAGTTCGGCCGGGCCGAACTTTTAATACCCTCCACCATTTGGTACAAATTTGGCAATTTCCAAAAAAAAACCGTGAAAAATTCTGTTAAAATCTTAAAATACCGAATGCCTATACGGCGACGTGGACCTGCTTAGGCAACTTTTGCCATAAGTTATTACAATATTTAAATGCGAAACTTGAAGAAAAATCTGTTTATGATGTAGCTAAAATCCTCAAAATACCTAATATAGGGGGTACCGTCATATGGGGGCTATACGAAGACGTGGACCTGCACAGACAATTTTCTGAAATGGGCTGAACTATCCATTACGAACTTCAAACACCAAATTTGCAACAATTCCGGTGAATAATGTCGCTAAAATTATCAAAATAAAATTATCAACCGGGCCGAACCTTGAATACCCTCCACCAGTTGGAACGAACTTCGCAATTCTCAAAAAAAAAAAAAAATAAATAAATAAAATAAAATCCGTTAAAATATTTGTTATTAGGGTCTATACGACGATATGGACCTGCACAGGTAACTATTGTCATAAAATCGGTGAATAATGTAATAATGTAATCAAAATACCGAATATCGGGAGGTACCGTTGTATTGGGGCTGTACGAAGACGTTAACCTGTACATGCAATTTTCTGTCATAGGCTGTAGTATCCATTACGAACTTTAAACACCAAATTTGAAACAATTCTGGTGAATAATGTCGCTAAAATCATCAAAATACCGATTATCGGGAGGTACTGTTGTATTGGGGGCTATACAAAGACGTGGACCGGCACAGACAATTTTCTGTCATAGGCTGTAGTATCCATTACGAACTTCAAACACCAAATTTGAAACAATTCTGGTGAATAATGTCGCTAAAATCATCAAAATACCGAATATCAGGAGGTACCGCTGCATTGGGGCTATACGCAGAACCTGCATAGGAAACTTTTGTCATAAGCCATTACAAAATTCAAATGAGAAACTTGAAAAAAAAAATAGATGAATAATGTAGCTAATATCATCAAAATAACGAATATCGGGAGTTGTTGTTATATGCGGGCTACACGAAGGCGTAGACCTGCACGAACAATTTTCTGTCATTTTTCTGTCATGCATTACAAACTTCAAATACCAAATTTGAAACAATTCCGGTGAATAATGTCGCTAAAATCATCAAAATACTGAATATCGGGAAGTACCGTTATATGGGGGCTATATGAAGACGTGGATCTGCACAGACAATTTTCTGTCATAGGCTGTAGTATCTATTACGATCTTAATAATACTAAATTTGAAACAATACCGGGGAATAATGTCGCTAAAATCATCAAAATACCGAATATCGGGAGGTGTTGTTATATGGGGGCTACACGAAGTTGTGGACCTGCACGAACAATTTTCTGTCATAGGTTGTAATATGCATTACGAACTTCAAATACCAAATTTGAAACAATTCTGGTGAATAATGTAGCTAAAATCATCAAAATACCGAAAAAATGGAGGTACCATTTTATGGGGGCTATACCAAAACGTGGACCTACATGCTTCATTTGCAATACCACACATTTGAGTAAAATTTACAGAGTAAAAAATTACATAGCACACATTTGAGTAAAATTTTATCAACCTACTTCATTTAGTTAAGAAGCTAGAGTGATTTCCACAGACGAACAGACGGACGGACACCGCTAAATCGATATAGAATTTTATGCTGATCAGAAGTATATATACTTGGTGGGGTCTAAAATGTATATTTCAAGCTGTTAAAAACGGAATGACAAACTTAATATACCCTCCATACAATGGTGGAGGGTATAAAAAGTTCGATTGAGGACCAATTTATCTCCGGATATTCGATATTTTAGTAATTTAGTTTACATTTTTAAGGAATTTTTTTCAAATTTGATTTTTGAGCAGAAATTTATCTACATGGTCTCATTTTGTGGTATAGCTCCTATATAACGGTGATATTTTGAAAATTTCAACTGCATTCTCCAGTGTATTCTGCTAATAAATTTAGTCGAAGATAGAAGTTGTTTAAATGTTGAATCCCGATTCTTTAATTTATAAAGCTTTTTAGCTCAACGGCTTTAAAAAAGGTAATGGAATAAATGGAATACTCTGTCGATATCACTATGCTAGATATTGTAGTGGAATATTTTAACTCTGCCTGAATTTGGCTACCTCATAATATAAATATTAAAATATGCCGATACGCGTGACTGTTGTTATGGGCTTCTCCATTTCATATGTATTCTGTTCCCCAGTGCAATGATTCTGAACAAAAATAATTACAAAATTGTCTCCAAACAACAGAGACAAATGGGATTATGTACAATGACATATCAATATCGGTCTGTTGAAATTCGTACACACGTCACAGTTACATAATCGAAAAACAAACAATTCCAATTATATAAAATCTGACACATTGATATTCTCAATATCTTTTTTTTATTTTTTTCAGACAATATCCAAACAATGAAATATTCACAATAGTAACAAATTTTGTTTCTTTGCCATTTTTGATTCTTAAGTTTTTTCTGTTATCAATTCTTTTTCAAACCAGACAATCAAAATTGTCGAATCATAATAAGTAATGACCATTTGCGGAATTTTGGCTCCATTATAAAAATTAAATAAAATTTTTAATGCGGTCTCCAGCACTGACACGATCAGATTCTGAAATTGATTGTCATGCTAGAGAATAAAAATCAAAACGAGAGAGAATAGCAACACCTACACCAACATATCAAATGTCAGTCATTTAGAATGAAAAAGTGATATGGTTGTGTTGTGTTGACGTTTCATTTGGAGAAAAATATAATAACTCCATTTTCATGTGGTCTGACGAAAGGTGTGACGATGAATTCTGTTAGACTTTATTAAGAAGTTGTTTTATTTCGTCGTCTATACTGCTCACTGTGACGTATGTATCTTAAAGTCAGCCAACAGTATTTTCATTGACGGTATTCCAAACATAATTAGCTTTTATTGCCAAAACATTATTGAGATATTTACCAGTTCCGTTTTGGAATAAGATTTCATGACGAACAAGATTAGTCTGCTGTTAACATGATAGATATATTTGTGGTATGTGTTTGGTACATGTGTTTCCGAAAATTAATTGTTATTGTTGCTTTTATCGATTTGGGTTCTTGGAATGTCCAAAGAAACTGTTGTTGCTTTCGGCATCGCTTTTATGTATTGCTCCCAAAAAGGTCAATCTTTGTTATGTCGGAATTTTAATTCCCGCCATGTATACGCAAGCAGAAGTAATTTGTTTTTTTAGTTTAATTAAGGGAATTCCATTGCTTTAAATTTGTTATTAATTAAAACATTAACTAAATCTATTAAAAAATACGATAAATAAACACGAAAATTCCCAACTGACAGTTTTCAGAAAAAAAAACAACAATTTAGTATAGCCTTCGAATTATTTGCATTAAGTACGTAATTAAACAATCGTAAAGTAATTTAGCGGGTACACTTCCCAATCGATCCGAAAAAGAGGCGGCTGTCTGTCTGTCTGTCTGTCTGTCCGTCTGTCTGTTGTAATCACGCTATCTTTCGAACGAATTGAGATACAAGGCTAAAATTTTGCACACAGGTTTATTTTTACAGTAGGCAGGTTAAGTTCGTATGGGTCATGTAGGTCCACGTTTTCATATAGCCCCCATATAACGGTACCTCCCGATATTCGGTATTTTGATGATTTTAGCGACATTATTCACCTGAATAGTTTCAAATTTAGTATTTGAGGTTCAAAATAGATACTACAGCCTAAAACAGAAAATTGTCTGCGCAGGTCCACGTCTTCGTATAGCCCCCATATAACTGTACCTCCCGATATTTGGTATTTTGATGATTTTAGCGACATTATTAATCGGAATTGTTCAAAATTTGGTATTTGAAGTTCGCAATGGATACTACAGCCTAAGACAGAAAATTGTCTGTTCAGGTCCACGTGTTCGTATAGCCTCCATATAACGGTACCTCCCGATATTCGGTATTTTGGTGATTTTAGCGTCTTTATTCACCAAAATTTTTTCAAATTACTCATTTAGAGTTCGTAATGGAAACTCCAGTCGGTGACAGAAAATTGTCTATGCAGGTCCAGGTCTTCGTATATGCCCATATACCCGTACCATATATTCGGTATTTTGACGAGTTTAGGTACAATACTCACCGAAGTTGTTTGAAATGTCGTATTTGAAGTTCGTAATGAATTCGTAATGAAGTTCGTCCACGTCGTATAGGCACCAATATAACTGCAATATTCGGTATTTTTAAAATTTTATCAAATTTTTTTCAGGATTTTATTTCCAAATTCGTTACAAATGGTTCGGCCCGGCCGAACTTACTGCTTTTTAACTTGTTTTCGATTGTAACCCTATAACGTATTAGAAAATAACATTATATATCTGTTCAGAGTGAATACAACTTTTTTTTGAGATAATATGTCTGCATTCAAATGGAATGAGGAGTATTTAAAAGAACATTTAGTCCTCGTAACTCAATCCATTGAATGTAAATTTCGACGTTTTGGAAATTTCGATCCCAATTTCCAAACAAATCAAATTACATTTCCGGACTTCAATTACTAGTTTAACTCCTCGAAATAGCTTTCATTAAGGTCTATTGTAGGCATATCTTCCATATTCCCTCTTATTTTTATACCCTCCACCATAGTATGAAGAGTATATTAAGTTTGTCATTCCGTTTGTAACACCTCGAAATATACATTTTAGACCCCACAAAGTATATATATTCTTGATAAGCATCCGTCTGTGAAAATCA